AAAACATATAAAATGTTTATAAAAAGTCATTTGAAGGAAACTGTTTGGTAAAACGGCTAATGAGTAGCCAAATCATTTGAATGCTGTATACTAATCACATGTGATTGATGTAATAAGTAATATAATCCTACTTACTAATCACATGTGATTGACATAATAAGTAGCATGATTCTAGTTGTATCCCCCCCCCCCCATAAAACATTTAAAAATAGTTTAAAACATTAGTTAAGGGGTATGAACTCACATGCAGTAAGTGACTGGAATTGAATGGACTGTTATCGTATGGAAGGATCGGACAAGTGCTTGGTGTCAAGTGGAGACTTAGACACACACAATGATCCGAATTACATATGAAAACATATGTATATAAATAATTAGTGATTATAACGCTAATTATACAAGTAATAACATTTAAGCACGAGGAAAACACTTTTGGTCAAGTGCTAGGAGGCTAAAGGGTTGCAACAAAGGAGTGCAATGCCCCTAATGTGAGTTTAAGGTCAAAAGACCATATTAATTGGAGTTTACGGCCAGGGGAGTAAGCTCCTGGCCGTAAACTCTCAACCAAGGCTTGGGATGGTACTTTCAATTACTACAACCTTAGTGGGAATTGTTTCAAGGCCTATACAAGTGTTTGGGCACCATATTGACTCCTTTGGGGAGTTTACGGCCCAAAGACCCTTTTCCCTTGGAGTTTACGGCCATAAACTCCCTTGGGAGGGTGATTATGGTGCTTTCAAGTCTCTATAATAACTAGGAACAATTCTAGGCTTTTGTTCTTGGCTTTGGAAGAGTTTATCGCACCATTTGGTACCATTTCTTGGAGTTTACGGCCATAGAACCTCTTGGGCCGTAAACTCCCTCACACATGGGGTTCTAAATGTTTTAGCTAGTCCATAACTCATCTAGGTACATGCCCAAATTGTCTCGGCCCAAGAACCACTCTTGGCCGTAAACTCCTCAACACTTGTGCTTTTCTTATGTTTCCTAGGTCCTAAACACATTAAGGTATTTGCCAAAAATAGAGTCCAATCCTTTGGGGGTGATTAGGGCACATTTAGCCCTTGAAAAAGGGGTTTACGGCCCAAGAACATATCCTTGGCCGTAAACTCCTAAAACTATATGGTTTTGATTGATTTCTAGCCTCTAATGTTCATACATAAAATCTTTAACTAGTTGCCTAACAAGGAATTGGGACTAGATGGCCTTTAGGCCTTGTTTTGGAGTTTACACCCCAAGAACGTTCTTGGGCCGTAAGCTCCCGGATCTTGTGTTTTGGACATGTAAATAATGTTATTAAGCATATCACAAGTATTAAAACACATCTAGGGAAGTACACTCACAATCTGGGATGAAAACCCTAAGATCCGTGAGAGAGAAATTGGCTTTTCTCTAAATGGAATTCAACTAATGAACCAATTTGGTTCAGGATTCTATTTATAGTCCTGAGATTTTTGGCAGAAAATATTTCTATTCTCGGAATGGATTCCAATGATCTAGGGTAATGGAATTTCAGTGTTGCACAAAATCCTAGTGCAACCACTCTCCTAATATCTCTTTAGGTGTAAAACCCTGAAACTGCCAAACTTATATCCTAAGCCTGAATTTTTATTGTAACTGCTCTACTTCTATTGGGTTGAAATGGTTTGATTAGAATGGAAAATTTCAGGTTGTCACACGTAGCCCGGATCACATAACACATAGCACATAACACATAAATCCTATCTGAGCCACGAAGGCATCAAACATACTAACTACTGCATCGGACCGAGGTCCGGAAACTACTGCTAACTTAACGGGCTGGCATTGTGGCCTTAGACCCGTTCCTACTGGAAGGAAACTCACCTGAACTGCTAAATTCTGCTGGTAACCCTCGGACTGCTAACCAACCACCGTCTGAAACGATGCTCCTCTAACTCTCCGGGCTACCAATAACAAAGAGACACTTAGCCTGGCAGACCTCTAAAAGTCAACTAACTCAACTCCGATCAAAGTCAAAGTCCTGGCCAAAGTCAACCTTCCATGTTGACCCTACTCGCCGAGTCAGTCTACTGACTCGCCTAGTTCACTGATTTCCGAGTTCTGACCTGTCCAACTCACTGAGTCCCCACTCAACTCGCTAAACTGAGCCTTGACTCGAAGGGTTTGGGGTTCGCGACTTGACTCACCGAGTCCAAGAGCAGACTCGCCGAGTCCAAGGCAATCTTCAACAGACTCGCCGAGTTGTTCATCCAACTCGTCAAGTTCGCCTCCATCTTCATACTACTCACCGAGTCCCTCAAAGGACTCGCTGAGTCTATTCAGTCCTTAAACCATGCAGTGGCTTTTCGAGCCAAACAGGGCTTCCAAGTCATAGATCCATACTTCTAGGGCCTAACCCTCACGTAAAGTGGCAAACTTTACGTGTAGATCAAGAGATCTAGGCTTAAAACAATCCAAACTAGGGTTTAAGACAAAGAAGCTTCACTATCAACCCAAGAACATATGCTTTATGACTTTCTAGGCCAAGATACATTCAGATCTGAAGTACTAACTTCAGATCTGACTTCTAACTCGAAATAGTTTCTTAAGCATGGCATAAAAGCTCCAAATCTCATAGCCAAGGTTGATCTATTAAACAAAAGAGGGAAGGTAACGATTTATTACCTTTAAATGCTTAGAAATACTCCACCAACTCTGGATCCAAGGCCCCCTTCTTGCTCCACAATGACTATCCTCTCTCTCAAGCTCCAAAAAGCTTCACCAAGGGTTAGATCTTACTCCAAAACGATTATAGCGGCTAGGGTTTATTGTTCTGAGTGAAAGAGACACTAAAGGAGCCTTAGGGAAGAGAATGAGGCGTTTAAATAAGCTCCAAGTCCTGAATTTAGGGTTTTCCTAGCCCAGACCAGACTCGTCGAGTCACCTTGCTCGACTCGCCGAGTCGGTCGCTTACACCTCGACCCGGATCCCGCTCGGACTCGCCGAGTCCCTCCTTGGACTCGCCGAGTCTCCTCTTAAAATTGGGGTTTTCTTTCTTTTCTTGGTTTTCCAACTTTGGGTGTTACAGATTTGGACGTTCTTTTTATCAAAATTCTCGGTCTAACGAATACTATGACTTTCGTTTAGATTGTTAAGGCTAAAAAGCACTTTATCACAATATTCACTTTTTACGCTTCCCGGTGCCGTGCTGGTTTCGTCGCGAAACTTCGACAAGTCATAACTTCTTCATTATAACTCGGATTTCGGCGTTCTTTATATCTCCGGAATCCTTGTGTCGGCCACTACAACTTTCTTAAAAGATATCGTTTTTTTTTAAAGGCTTATTTTCATTATTAATTAATTAAATCATAATAATTAAGCAAATAAGCATATAATTCACATAATATTCACATAATTCCTCTTTATTACTTCAAAATGAGTTACAAAGGTTGACCTAGACTATTACAACTTTATTAATGCTTTTAGCCCAGAAACACGGGCGTTACAAAAGAGCTGGCACGATAGCGGCCCATCACACACATGCTCTGTATTCCGCACTATGAGATCTTCCTGGGGATTTGTATTCTGACATTATTATGTTTTATGAAAATGTTTTTCCAGACATGTGATATCTTTACAGAATGTTATGATCGGTGTACGTTTTATTTCGAATGTTTTACTAAGTATATGTTTTCAAAAATGAAGTTTTGGGATGTTACACCTCAGACTGCTGAATCCCGTAGATAAATCTATGGCCACATATTTGCTAAAATCCCCACATTATCAATCACAAATAACATCCCATTAATAATTGGATCTCGACTCACACAAAGAGTCCAAACTAGAGTAAAAGACCTTTTTACCCTTTAACGAACTCGGCCGAAGCCAACTATCCAAAAGGCCTAAATTCTAAAATGATCACCCAAAGCCCAAATATAACCCAAATTTTCAAATTGGACACAAATCCCTTCGTGGGCCTTCAACCAAAAGAGTCAAACAAAATAGCATCAGCCCAAAAATAGAATTTTGATGGCCCAAGAAAACCCTAGACTCCAAAGGTCCAACATGGGCCCAAAACCATAAAGCCCAAAACTCCATTTTAATAATAAAACTTCATTTTTATTAAAAACATTTCATTACATAAAAATAACATAAATTGCATTACTTAAAAAAACAACATATCATGATATTAAAAAACACACATAAAACGATTAAAATAACTAAAAATATAACATGACACTAAAAAATCTTAAAAACTTAGAAGAAAAACCAAGTAACTTAAACCTACAACCTTAAAAAAAAATACAAATGAAACGATTAAAATACTAAAATTTTTTAAACCGGTATTAAATTGTATTTGTAGTTTTTAATCAGTTGTATTGATGCTTTAAAATTTATATTAAATTGTAGTAGTTTTTAGTTAGTTTTGTATGTTTTTAATATTTTTGTTAATTAATTTTGTATGATTTTAATTAGTTTATATTTAATTTAAAATTAAAAATTGAGTCGGTTTAAAATTTTTGTATGATTTTCATTTTTGCTGTGATTTGGAAAAAAAAAAAGAAAAAAAAAGAAAAGAAAAAGAGAGAGAAATAAATGATGTGGATACGAAGACTTAGAATTTCAAAGTCGTGTATTATTTTCCTACCAAGACTTGTGGCCCATCCGTAGGTTTCTAGAATACATGTACCATATCATATAAATTTTGATATTATATTGACGCGAATGTTTTTAATTACCTAGTAAAAAGTTTTGCTTGAGTTTGTATATTATTCAATAACACGTTACTAATAACATGATTAAATTCCTTATCCTTTAATAAATCACAATTAACAAAACTATTGGTCTTTTAAAAATGGAAGCTGTACACAAGACAAATTTATCTTGAAATTGTGTTGCCGTGTGTAAGGATGCAAAAGATATTTTCAACCTAGCTTCTGTTTTTATGGTCTTCCTAGGGGTGCTCAATGTGAACGAAAGACTCGCTTATAGTAAACAAAAAATAAGAGCATTAGGTCAATCCTGCACAAAACCCTCTCATGGTTATGGTAAGACCATGTTTTCGATCGATTATTCCACTTCTAATAATCCTACCCAGTTCACTCTTCACGCCTTCTTCATCATCTTTGCATCCTAATGCCTTATCTAAAGGCTTATCAATCTCTGTTGATCACGAACATGATAATCTCGTTTCGCCAAATGGCCTTTTCACTGCCGGATTTTACAAGGTGGGCATCAACGCTTATTGCTTTTCCATATGGTTCACAGAGCCACAGGCGAAAAATGAGAATCCTACCGTAGTTTGGATGGCAAATCGAGACACACCCATTAATGGAAAACACTCCAAACTTTCCCTCCACGACGATGGTAATCTTGTTTTAGAAGATGCAGATCAGTCTACTGTTTGGTCCACACAGACAAAATCCACCAATGGTTCACTCAGTTTAAAACTTGAAGACACTGGAAATCTCGTTCTTCATCAACTTAATGGTATTCCATGCATGCTTTGGCAAAGCTTTGATTATCCTACAGATACGCTTCTACCCGATCAACTGTTCACCAAAGACTCGCAACTTGTTTCTTCAAGAAGTAGGTCAAATTTCTCTTCTGGGTTCTTTAGGCTCTATTTTGAGAACAACAACGTTCTGAGTCTTCTTTACAATGGTCCTGAAATAACAAGTGTTTATTGGCCTCCACCTTTTTTGAAAACGTGGGAAGCGGGAAGATCCACTTTCAACAACAGTAGAATTGCTAAACTCGATTCTGAAGGTAAGTTCAACTCATCTGACGAATTCGGGTTCTTTGTTTCTGATTTTGGTATAAGACGCAGTAGAATAATGAAGCTTGATTCTGATGGTAATATTAGAGTTTATAGTCTTGTTGGACGAAAAAAGTGGGAGGTTCAGTGGCAAGCTTTTTCCAATCCCTGCAAGATTCATGGCGTATGTGGAGCAAATAGTCTTTGTACTTATTCTCAAGAACATGGCAGGAAATGTGAATGTGTACATGGATACAAGAAAAAGAATCAAAGCGATTGGGCCTACGGTTGTGAGCCCAAATTTAAACCTTGCGAACAGGGAGAGGAAGATTACATTCAGCTTCATCATGTCGAGTTTTATGGTTACGATATGAGATTCCTTCAGAACAGAACCCTTGAAGCATGCAAACAAGATTGTTTAAACGATTGCAACTGTAAAGGATTCCAATTCAAATTCGATACGAATTTCTATAATTGTTATCTGAAGAATCTTTTATACAATGGATATCAGTTGGGTTTTGAGCATTCAACCTATATAAAGCTACCAAAAAACTTGGTATCATCTTTTCAACAAGCACTCGTCAATGAAATCGATCCAACTCCAGTTGTCCCAAACATATAATAATTCCGATTCCAAGATCTTATGAGAGAAAACATGAAAATGGTTCTCTAAAAGTTTTGCAATGGTTTGGGATGGTAATTGGAGTTCTTGAGATCCTCTTGATACTGATTTTTCTTTATATAGCTCGCAAAGACTCGGCTACATCTGCAAAAAGTTACTACCCCATAGCATCAGGGTTCAAAAGATTCACATACGCTGAGCTGAAAACTGCAACAAGCAATTTCAAGGAAGAGATAGGAAGAGGTGGTGCTGGTGTGGTTTATAAAGGGAAATTATCTGATGATAGAATAGCCGCAATAAAGGTGTTAAAGGAGGTTAATCATCAAGGAGAAGCTGCTTTTCAAGCAGAAATAAGCACAATTGGAAGGCTAAATCATATGAATTTGATAGAGACTTTGGGTTATTGTATTGAAGGGAAACATAGGCTAGTGGTTTATGAGTATATGGAGAATGGGTCCTTAGCAACCAGCTTGAATTCTAACAAACTTAATTGGGGAAAGAAGTTCGATATAGCAATTGGTACTGCAAAAGGGCTGGCCTATTTACATGAAGAGTGTTTGGAATGGGTTTTGCATTGTGATGTCAAACCCCATAACATTTTGTTAGATGCTGATTACAATCCAAAGGTGGCTGATTTCGGGTTGTCCAAGCTGTTCGATAGAGGTGAGAATGAGACTTCAAGCTTTTCAAGGATTCGAGGTACACGAGGTTACATGGCTCCAGAATGGGTGTTCAATCTTCCGATCACCTCAAAAGTCGATGTCTATAGTTATGGAGTCGTGATACTTGAAATGGTCACCGGAAAGAGCCCACTGCAAATGGTGCAACTTGGTGTTGATAGTGGTAGAGACCAAACGTTGGTTGAGTGGGTGAGGGAGAAGATTCGTGAACATATTGGAAGCCAAAATGGAACATGGATTGGGGAAATTGTTGATAGTAGGACGAGTGGTGAATACGATACGGGAATGTTGATTAATCTTGTGAAAGTTGCTTTACAATGTGCTGAAGAAGATAAAGATGCAAGACCTTCAATGAGCCAAGTAGTCAATATCCTCCTCCACCCTGGGAGTCATAATAGTCATGATATGAATGAAGCTTCGGTCAGTAGTATATATAATAAGGTATCATCATCAACATGACAATGATCTTCTGTAATATATTGCATGTAATTATGAACATGGTCTTCCTATGTTCATTAATATATCATATTGAATATATATGAAATAAAAGAACAACAAGAAGAAGAAATTATGGTGGTAGTAAACTTTCTTTTTATTAGTTTACGAAGAGGAAGAAAAGCTAATTATTTATACAGGAGTAGAAGTGAGGCCGATTAACATATAACCAACTTAGAGAATCTCTTATTTTAGTCACCTTATTGTTGTAATAATTTTGAGCTTTAACTAAATATCATCTGTAATGGTTAACTTTTTTTTTTTTTTTTTTTTTGATGAATTTAACATATTGATCCACATTTATCTAAAATGTTTCATAAAACCTCCTCATTTAGTTAGTTGTTTTTTTAAAGACATCAAATTTTAATATGAAATATTATCACTAGATATTAATATATAAATGTTTTATAAATGAAAACTATAATAGAAATAATTAATCAGTTTAAGAAAAAAACAATGTTTAAAACTAAAATATTATTAATGGGATAAAAATGAAATATGATTAAAAAAGAAAGGGTTAAATGTGCAAAATAATATCACCAATATATAATGAGTCATCAAAAAAATAATAAACAAAAAAGCTATAACCCCCGTAGAGTAATTATGTCTGGCAATTGAGTTGGGTTCGGGTTGGCGGGTTGACGTGTCAAAATATATTGACCAAACCCAACCCATATAACCTGTATAAGTATATGGGTTCGTGGGTTTGTGGGTCAGTAGGTCGAACCCAACTTATATAACCCATTTAATAACCAACACATTTTGAAATGAAATTAAAAAATACAAATAAAATGAAGTCATAAAGTCTTAAATATTCAACATAAAGTCACGAGTGTAGTGACAAAGAACATGGTTTGACATACAGAATTAAAGCTTGCACAATTGAACATGGTGATTTGGGTGTTTAAGAGATATATTGAATGTATATGATCTTTACAAAAACGATCTAGATCTAGACTACATAATTAACACACACTAACACATTCACTTCTATATCTCTCAAGCACACCTCTACAAGTGGACAAACCCACTATTTATAGAGGTGTTTACATGTCTCTCTCTCACTCTAACTAACAAATGGGCCTAAAGGCTACACCACCACATGCAAGTGAGTTTTACAAAAGTCAAACATTTACAAAGTCATGAATGAATAATCTTTGCAACCCCAACATTCTCCCCCTCAAAGTTAGGAATGAATGACCCACTTCAAATCTTCCAAAATCAAGCACTACGTTGTTCGAGCCTCAAAGGTGACACATGTCGAAACAAACTTCAATCTTCAATTCTTCCATGATTCTTCAATTTGGGTTCTAGGATGTGAGACCATATAATCCGAGCAACAACGAATGATCAAAAGTATTCCAAACTCCAAATAATCACCCAAAAGTTGCGCATAAAAACACCCAAAAATCTTCAGTAATTCCAAACCCATTTCGAACACATCACTTCCGAACATCCAATTGCATCATCTCGTAGCTTCAAAACTCCAAGATCACTTCGGTCTTCAAATCCGCGTAATATGAAAAACTCAAGTTCGAATTTCCATATAAAACTTCTCCCCCTTTTTATAATCGAAATTCGATTATAAAACTTCAAGGAAAAAGAACGTGCTTTATTCGGATTTTTTCATGTCAAAACTCCCCCTTAACATGTGGCATAAACGTTGTGCTTCAATCCGGAAAACTCAAAAAATAATGAATTTTTATCATCGTTCACGGATCGCCTTTGATATAATTTCTCAAAAATGGGTAGAAATTGTCAATTTCAAAATTCTGCAGTGACCCGTTCCGCTAAAAATAGTAAAATATGCGAAACACACTCCCATGTGCGAAACTGGGTTGAATGTGTAAATTCGCACAAACTACAGGGACCAGAACTGAAAATTCTGCAATTTCTAAGCTTTTATTGCCCATTTGGCAAAGTTGGGTAAAAACTATCACTTAGTGAAAAGATCAGGGGTGCAAACTGAAACTATTTGTGTTCTTCCCCAAATCACCATATGCAGTAAAAGACTTCGCATGTTCCAGTCATTTTCTTCGCATTTTCATTCACATTTCTTCGCATCTTGTATCCATCCGTCTTTGAGTTCATTTGCATTTCAGTTGTCTTCATTCGCATTAACTGAGAAATTAATCAGTTGTTTGAGATTCACATTTCAGTTGTTTGAGAAACCCAGATGTGAACCCAGATGCGAAACCCACTGATTTCAAATGCGAACCAAAAAAAAATCATCAACCACACACTTGTCTCACCAAATGCGAACTCAAAATTGAGACCATTAACCCAATCGACCAATTTACAATGCGAACACCCAAATTACGATTGGAGATGCAAATGTTCATGCGAAACCAAATCATCAACATCGATTCCCATAAATCCTTCGCAATATCGAATCCCAGTAAATCCAAAGTCACAAAGTCTTCTTTTACAGATCATCGACTCCAAACTTGCGAAATTAGCTTACAATCCTTCGGTATCAAACTCTCAGCTATTCGATTATACATCGATTTCAAAATCATCAATTTCTTCAAACATCTATCTTTGACAATCGATCACAAAACAACAAACCCAGACTCAAACTTTCGCGTTCAATCAACTATTGACTGTAAAACCCATTCACGCTTCATTCTCAATCGACTTCCCAAATTGTCGATTTCTATTACATCACCCTTTGTCAACAAACGAAATCAAACTTCAATTGCTTCATCTGTTCGTTCTTGACATCCATCCAAACTATGCGAATCTTCATTCCAGTTCATCACATAACAAACACAAATCGAAAACTTTTCAAATCAAGTTTAGATCAAACACACTATTTGAACTGTTCATCATCGTTGTTCATAATGATCTTGACTTTCGCTTGAGATTTCATCACCGAATTAAAATCGGCTCAAGAACACATATTAATCGATATGAAATCGTATCTAAAGTTTAGATTATCGATCAAATATAAATGATTAAAAGAAACGAATTGATGAAATCGGAACTCAAGAAAAGATGATTAAAGAACAATCGATTATAACTAAGACTTAATTCTCCGATGGTATAACTGGGGAAGCAAGCGTACAAGTTGATTTCAGAACAATGATTTTAGAATAATCCCAAATGATAGTTTTCGGATCTTAATTAACCATATCAGATCTTTGATAGAATGATTGGGCTCAAAAAATTTGAAGATGAACAGTAATCTTAATATTCAAAATTGGGCTTTCATGAATCGATCAATGAACATTCGAAGATTCAATGTGGGCTCAAGAATTATACGAACAATTTCAAGTGGATATTGAATTAAAATGATTTTGATTTTGGTTAGGGCTTGATCTACAAAAAAAAATTTGTTGGATCAACAATGGGGTAAAAACGAATTAGATCCAAAGAATCAAAACGATCAAAATTCAAAAACACAACGCACGATTCAATGATTACGAGAGATCATAGAGAGAGACTCACCAAAATTGCTCAAAATTGTGAAAAAAAATTGCCAAACCGAGAATCGTTCTTCAAAAATCAACTTGATCTTGAAGACCCGCTCTGATACCAATTGTAGTGACAAAGAACATGGTTTGACATGCGGAATTAAAGCTTGCACAATTGAACATGGTGATTTTGGTGTTTAAGAGATATATCGAATGTATATGGTGTTTACAAAAAGGATCTAGATCTAGACTACATAATTAATACACACTTACACACTCACTTCTACATCTCTCAAGCACACCTCTACAAGGGGACAAACCCATTATTTATAGAGGTGTTTACATGTCTCTCTCTCACTCTAACTAACAAATGGGTCTAAAGGCTACACCACCACATGCAAGTGGGTTTTACAAAAGTCAAACATTTACAAAGTCATGAATGAATAATATTTGCAACCCCAACAACGACGACGAGTGGTGTGTGACAACCGTAAGACGAGAAGGCGAGTGGTGTGCGTGCGACACTGCGACAATCGGTGACTCGATGCCTCAATCGTTAGAGATGGGAGACACGAAGTTGTGAGTTTAGAGACTGAAGATTGAATTTCTTTTTGATAAGGGGCTTCTTAGGGGCTACAACATGCTAAGTCGACTCAAAGATGTTTTGTAGTTTTGGAATCGGAAAACGATTATACGATAATCAAATATTCAATACTAATAAATAATTAAATATATTTTTTAAACATAATATATATATATATATATATATATATATATATATATATATATATATATATATATATATATATATATATATAACCGGGTTGGCGGGTTGACCCGCGAACCCAAACATGTAACCCAACCCATGAAATAAACGGGTTGGCGATTCAAAAATCTCAACTCAAACCCGTTTATTTTCGTGTTGGGCCAGTGTCGGGTTACGGGTTGGTCGATGATTGCCACCCCTAGTAGTAATAAGTGATGATAAATGGTTAATTGAATAGAAAAAACTATAAAATAAATTTTAAATGGAAATGCTATTACAACTAATTAACATAAAATGTATAACTATTCAATCATTCCCCATAGGACCAACTCATGGGACGAGGCAAGCTCGGTGACCACATCAGCAGGATTAACCCCTAAATGCCTAAGAGCTGTAACATCACAAAAAAATTTAGATAATTTTTTTTAGTTCGTTTTAAAACATCCAATAAACATGTCAAAAAAAAAACCAAGTGTGTAACATGGTGAAATAATAACAAAGTAAAAAAGAAATCTCAAAATCACATAATGCAGAAAACGTAGGTGGATGCAGTGTGATCAAGTCACGCCCTTCCCTTTTGAGTTGGAAGTACCTGAAACATAAACTGAAAATCGTAAGCACAAAGCTTAGTGAGTTCCCCCAAAATACCCTATATCATTCATGCATAACAGAAAGAAAGACACAACTCAGTCTATTTCACCATCTTTGGTCTCTTTCAACCAGTATTGGGTATATTTCACCCCTTTCGCTCTCTTTCAACAGGTACTAGGTCTATTTCACCC